GCATGTACAATTGCCACGCAAGTCATATTGTAATCAAATGTTATATAAGATCACCTTTCCTTTTCAATCTGCAGTGCTGTAAGTTTTCTCTAAAATGCAATATAATATGACTACCTGGAGGTGTTCTGTATACAGAAATATAATATTACAACCTTTCTGTCATCCTACCCGTGAATATACTAACCAAATCATTCCAAATTAAATAAATAAATCAATGCATAGAAAAATCAATAGTCGATCAAGTGTCCAACAGGGCGGACTGACAACTCATGTGGTCCCCGGGCAATAGGGGATCACGGGACCCCTGTGTCCTTGTCCAAACTCAAAAAAGCCTATGAAAAAGGTACCAGTAGCATCTCATGGGGCCCCCTACTGACCCCGGGCCCTCGGGCAGTGCCTGAATTTCCAAATGGCCAATCCGCCCCTGGAGTCCAATTAAAGTCCAAAAGATCCCTAAGTCAAAAATATATCCAAAATAAATCCAGAAGGAAGGATTCCAATCCTAAAATAATCCTTGTGATACCTCGAAAAATAGAAATACTATATAGTGCATTATCTTCCAAATATTCAAATACTCTTATAAAGTGCAAAATCAAATCTGTGCAAATTCCAAACCACTCAAATCGTAATTAATGGTGATATTACAAACAAACAGCAAAAAAAAAAGAAAGAAGAAAAGAAAATTATATTTAAATATAGTAATTATAGTAAACCGTGAACAAAATCAAATCTTAAGGTGAATGTTTCTTTAAGTGAGCACTTCAAAAATTCAGTGAACACTCAGTGACCACTACAATTCATACAGTGCACACTCCGTGACCACTACAATTCATACAGTGAACGCTCCGTGACCACTACAATTCATACAGTGAACGCTCCATGACCACTACAATTCATACAGTGAACGCTCCGTGACCACTACAATTCATACAGTGAACGCTCCATGACCACTACAATTCATACAGTGAACGCTCCGTGACCACTACAATTCATACAGTGCACACTCCGTGACCACTACAATTCATACAGTGAACGCTCCGTGACCACTACAATTCATACAGTGAACGCTCCATGACCACTACAATTCATACAGTGAACGCTCCGTGACCACTACAATTCATACAGTGCACACTCCGTGAACAATCAAAGTAGTGATACTAAATACCATTACCCTTTCAAATTCTTTCACTTCAGGAGTCCATCCTCCATAACCCTCATAAAGATGAAGAAGACTCTTAGAACAGATTTCCGAGTATAGGGATACATTTTAATATACACTGTGGGAACTCGCTTCAGAGTGGTAGAGCTTCTTCAAAGCACACGGCAACTCGCTTATTTTTAAGGGCCTTTTTGCCCACTTTTATTTAAATGAAAGTCCTGTAACATAAAGGTTTCCCGCGCAGAGGTTTCCACCATCACACAAATTAACAGTATTCAGCCTCCTGGCTTGTACGCAGTTTTAAGTCTGCCTCCTGCAGACTCTTCCCAAAATATGGCACTAGCACACAGCTAGTCTGGCTTCCACCTGACTCCAAGGCAGAGACCTCCCGCCTGCCGGGGTGGAGCCCTCCTGACTCCTGTCTGCCGGGGTGGAGCCCTCCTTACTCCTGTCTGCCGGGGTGGAGCCCTCCTGACTCCTGTCTGCCGGGGTGGAGCTCAGAATCATGGCCTGGCCTCCCTAAAAGGCCTGCACACACCTGTGCAATCATCACGCTGGCTGCTCCCAAAATATGGGCCCAGGATTGGAGATTTCATCCCTCCCAAATCTCTTAGAAATCTCCAAGCTACAGGTCCCAAAACAGGCTTTACAAGCCAAAGAGGAAACTGATAAACCAGTTTCCTCTGCATTATGAGATCTGCCTGGAGCCCCTCATCCTGCATGGTTGAGAATCCTGGGTCTCCATCATGATTTCCACCTTGGCAGGATACCGCACTGCCACAACACTTACATTGGGGTTAGCAACTTTCAGGTCTCTGAGTAGCACAGAACAAGCCCTGCAAAGAATGGGCATAGAAACCACGTTTTTCCAGCAATCAAAATGGCTGCGACGGCACTTCCGGTTACCGTGCGTGTGTCTTGACGTCACGTCCCCTAACACGTTTTGTCACTTCCGGACTTCATCTGAAGGGATCCCTAAAAGTTGCTAACCCTAATGTAAGTGTATATTTAAATATTGGAAGAAGGGATCACACGTGGCATGGGGACCTGGTGGGTTCCAAGAGAGGCTGCGGGTTTCATGACGGTGTATGCACAGCCCGACTCCGGGGATGTCCGGAGCTGTGAAGGTGAGTGTCTTTTTCTCAAGGCTTTCTCGAGTGGGAGGCAGGGGTGTTGTTGCTCTCTCTACGGGGGGGGGCAATTTGTGTGTTGCCTAGGGCAGCACAAAACCTAAATACGCCACTGGTGCAGACATATGATAGCAGGGGCAGCTGAGAAATAGGCACAAGGCAGGGCCAGATGGTCTACATGGTCTGGGTCATCAACTAGCATGCAGATGAGGTACAAGCGGCAGGCATTAGAGCAGTCAGGAGTCAAGCCAGGGTCGGTAACAGCGGACGGTAATGGCAGAAGGAGCAAACGGAGATGTGGTCCAGAGACAAGCCAGGGGTCAGTACAGGTGGCGTTCAGAGCAGAGTCAGAGGCAGACTGGGTCAATAACAGACATTAGGCAATAACTGGTATCAGGGACACAGGAACGCAATAGACCGAACCGCACTGACAGACTGAAATAGCGTGGTTTAAATAGCTTTTCTGGTACCAATGCGCATTCACATTCACACATGCATGCACTTGCACACTCGATAGTGCACATACACGTGTACCTGCAATCCAGCTGCAGGCAGAGTTCCTCAGATTTATGGGGAATCCTTTCCTGACACTGACATTTCTGATCCTTAAGAAAGGATTTGCCAGAAATGATGTGACCAATGAGAAGGTCTGAGGAGTGGCCAATGGCAGGTCACTGTGTTTTTGACTATATAGTTGTCGTCCCATGGATTCAGTTTTCTATAGGTATTAAAATCTCCACATACCTACAGGATACAGTCTGGTAACTTGTATACTATTGTCCAGAATGAAATTACCTTTAAAATGACTCCAAATATGACGGGTATTGGATGGCTATTCTCCCTAGGAAAGGTAATATGTCCAGTTTGCCTCCACTATTATCTAATATATTGTTTTTTGGCTTAAAATGCTATTATTTAATTGATACGGTAAAATCCGTCCTTATCCTGGAGATACTATTATTATATCAGGAGTTATGAAATCTAATGAAGTTTGGATTTGAGATAGCCAGGGGAGTATATTATCGGCTGGGTTTTTACAGTATCACTTAGCCCTGGGTTAGACATGTTATTGCAAGTCATGTACTCCTAATGGGTTACCCTGCAAACCATGTGTGACAGAACTGAAAGATTTTGTTACATTTTTATGATGGGTCAATCCCATCATAAAATCCTTAGAAGATATTTATTGTTAGCAGACATTGAGATAAGTAAACCCTGACAGAGTGCAATGTTCCATTCCAGAACTCCTGTAAAGGCGTTAATTAGTTAAGTAACGGTCAGCAGAATGGTTTCTGCAATTCTGACATCACTTTGAAGTGTCCAGAACCTTAAAAAACTGTTACATAGTATTTTGGGGGGCACAGTCCATGTTATCATTACTCTGGGCATCACAGTTTTTATATATAGGGCTGTATAGCTGCAGACTGGTCAGGGAGCCCATGCTGTTCATGTCCCCAGCCAAAAGTGCCTACAATGGGCTTACAGTGGGCCCATGAATATCAGAAACTGGACCACGGAGCGATGGAAGAAGGTGGCCTGGTTTGATGAATCACATTTTCTTTTACATTATGTGGATGGCCGGGTGTCCGCTGCTTACCTGGGGAAGAGACGGCACTAGAATGCTCTATTGGCAGTGTGATGCTTTGGGCAATGTTCTGCTGGGAAACAGGAGGGGACAACCAATACACATGTAGGGGGCCCTAGAATCCAGAGGGACCCCAACCACCGAGACCAAGTTGTTGCTGCCAGGGGCAGACTGATAATTTGGGCACTCAAAGGACACAAACTGTCCATAAAATTTCTGAGGATGCCTTCCCCCTGTAGGTTTGAGAGTCTCTCATGCCTCGGCTCCAACCCACCTGTGTCAGAAAACTATTGGTTGCTAGACCTACCTAGCATCCTAGCAACCAATCAGGTGCAGGGAGGCCCCTGGCAGCCTCTAGTGCTACACTTCCCAGCTTCCTGCTAAGAATGGGACTGGCTGCTGTCCGGACCAGGAGTCTGTCACTCCAATGCCGTGTCATGGCCATTCATCCAGTCCGCCATTGTGTACTAATGAGAGCTGCAACAGTCATCACATCCCGGGATGGGGCACAGAGTCTGCTTCGGGGGGGGGGGGAGCTGCCTCACTGCCCTTGGGGGGAGGGGAGAACTCTTGAGGTTTACATGAGGAGAGACTAGCCTGTCATCCTTAATGTATGTGACATAATGAGTGTATAGGACCCCCCCCCCACCTCTGCTGCACCTCACAGTCTGTGTGTACTGTGTGCCATCACATTGGGGGTGCCTCCTCCTTCTGTATACTTTCTTCTTGATATGTCCCTGTAATCTCTCCCCTCCGGACACATTCACTGATCTGGAAGCCGTATACTTCTTTCTGATAGCTGATTGTAATGCTTTCTTTTTTTTCTTTTTTTTTGCATTGAGCCATTTGTTATTGATTGTGACCTGTTTTCTATCCAAGTTGCCATCAGAAGACTCACCATTGTGATTTGTTAAACTGATACTAAAGAACATATTTTTTTTCTTAAAAAAAAAAAAAAAAAGAGAGATGTCATACCTACCTGCTGACAATCTCATGTACTATTTCTGCAGTCTCTGACCATCTCCTTTATCATGTCTGCAGTCTCCAACCATCTTCTGTATCATGTCTGCAGTCTCCAACCATCTTTCTGTACCATGTCTGCAGTCTCTTACCATCTGTTGCATCATGTCTGCAGTCTCTGACCATCTTCTGTATCATGTCAGCAGTCTCTGACCATCTTCTGTAGTATGTCTTCAGTCTCTTATCAGCTCCCGTAGTATGTCTGCAATCTCTGAAAATCTCATGTACTATTTCTGCAGTCTCTGACCATCTGTTGCATCATGTCTGCAGTCTCTTACCATTTCCTGTAGTATGTCTGCAGTCTCTGACAATCCCCTGCATCATATCTGCAGTGCCTGATAATCCCTTGTAGTATATCTGCAGCCTCCTACTATCTCCTGTATCATGGCTGCAGTCTCAGGTCATCTCCTGTAGTATGTCCAGGCTCTAACCATCACCTGTAGTATGTCCACAGTCTCTGACCATCTCCGGTAGTATGTTTGCATTCTGACTATCTCCTGTAGTATGTCCACAGTCTCAGGTCATCTCCTGTAGTATGTCCAGGCTCTAACCATCTCCTGTAGTATGTTTGCATTCTGACCATCTCATGTAGTATATCTGTGATCTCTGACCATCGCCTGTACTATGTCTGAAGTCTCTGACAATCTCCTGCATTATATGTGCAGTCTCTGGTCATCTCCTGTAGTATGTCTGAAGTTTCTGACAATCTCCTGTAGTATGTATGCAGTCTCTGACCATCTCCTGCATCATATCTGCAGTCTCTGATTATCTCCTGCATCATATCTGCAGTCTCTGACCATCTCTTGTAGTGTGTTTGCAGTCTCTGACCATCTCCTGCATCATATCTGCAGTCTCTAGTCATCTCTTGTAGTATGTCCGCAGTCTCTGGTCATCTCCTGTACTGTGTCCGCATTCTCTGGTCATCTCCTGTACTATGTCCGCAGTCTCTGGTCATCCCCTGTACTACGTCCGCAGTCTCTGGTCATCCCCTGTACTACGTCTGCAGTCTCTGGTCATCTCCTGTACTATGTCCACAGTCTCTGGTCATCTCATGTACTATGTCCACAGTCTCTGGTCATCTCCTGTACTGTGTCCGCAGTCTCTGGTCATCTCCTGTACTATGTCCACAGTCTCTGGTCATCTCCTGTGCTGTGTCCACAGTTTCTGGTTATCTCCTGTAGTATGTCTGCAGTCTCTGGTCATCTCCTGTTACTATGTCCACAGTCTCTGGTCATCTCCTGTACTGTGTCCGCAGTCTCTGGTCATCTCCTGTACTGTGTCCGCAGTCCCTGGTCATCTCCTGTACTGTGTCCGCAGTCTCTGGTCATCCCCCGTGCTGTGTCCGCAGTCTCTGGTCATTTCCTGTACTATGTCCGCAGTCTCTGGTCATCTCCTGTACTATGTCTGCAGTCTCTGGTCATGTCCTGTACTGTGTCCGCAGTCTCTGGTCATGTCCTGTACTATGTCCGCAGTCTCTGGTCATGTCCTGTACTATGTCCGCAGTCTCTGGTCAGGTCCTGTACTATGTCTGCAGTCTCTGGTCATCTCCTGTACTATGTCTGCAGTCTCTGGTCATCTCCTGTACTACGTCTGCAGTCTCTTGTCGTCTCCTGTACTGTGTCCGCAGTTTCTGGTTATCTCCTGTACTATATCTGCAGTCTCTGGTCATGTCCTGTAATACAGCCATGGCCAAAGTGGGGAGGCACGAGGCTGCAGCAGTATCGAGTGCTTCAACATGATGGCATATCTATGAGCAAGCCTGCAGCCCCAGAATCGATTAGTGCCGGGGTGTTGATGGAAAACTCAGACCAGGAAAGGGTAACTGGAACTAGAGGCTTATCTTTAAGGATCACTGGGGACGCAAAGACGTCACCTAGAGTCTGTCCCCTACAGGACCTGAGGTGCGGGCGTTTCTTGGATGGATTGGACAGGACTTCAATACGTGACCTGCTTGACCACAGAAAGGGCACAATCTCTCCCTTCTCCTAAAGGCCCCCTTTCTTTGGGGTGAAGTTGCAAGTATCTCTATGCCGTGTGAGAGAAATATCTTCTTAATATGACAATTTTGTGAAAATAAAAAACAAATTTTATTTAATTTCTGTATTTTTCAAAGAAATGTGGGAAAATGTACAACTCATCACGCCTATGAAATACCTTGGACTGTCTACTTTCCAAACAAGGGGTCACTTAGGAGGAGGGGGGGGGGTGTACTGTCAAGGCATGTTAGGACCTCAAGAAATGAGATAGCAGCAGTCAGTACATCAGGATTGATCAATTTTCAGTGATACGTATCATCGCTTGTAGACTTTATGACTTTCACACAGAATATATAATGTACACCAATTGGGGTTATTTCTTCCTAAATTGAAGCCAGAATTTATTCTGCTTCATTTCTTTGGTAAAAATCACCCAAATCTGTGTATATTATCTAGTCTGTTTCTTGTATTTACGTATTTGCAAAATTTTATAATAGAAGCTGAAAAAATGCATTTATATTTCAATATTTTTATTAAAGTTTTCAATTTAACAACAGGGTATGCAAATAATGCGAAACACAAATACAGATCACAGTCAAGTAGGGGAAAAGCGTTAATATGATGTGCGTTCCTCCCCATTTGGTTGAGGATAAGAAATGACAAAGTTGCATTGACCTGAGAGGTATGCTCGGGTATAGGTGAACTGTATTGAGATGGTGGTGTTGTTACATAAAGAGGGGAAGGAACATGTGGTAGAAGGGAACATGGGGGAGGGGGAGTGAGTGGGTGGGGGGGGGCAAGGGGGAGATGTGCACCAGTCTCAGAAGAAAGATCTAAAGGTTGCAGAGGAATTGTGTCAGTCTTTCACTGTGCAGTTTGGGTTCTGTAGCCATCGAGACCAATGGAGTTTGAATTTGTGGTGGGATGCAGTAGTAGGAACCGTTCTCCTCTCCATGTCGCATTGTGTGTTGAGATCTGAAATAAGCGCAGAGAGGGAGGGAGGTGTACTGGAATTCCATAGTTTAGTGAGATTAGTCTTGGCCGCTGACAGAGTATGGACAATGATTGTATGAGAATCTTTGGGAAATTTGTCGATCCCTATATGGAGGAGTGCTAGAGCCGGGTTTGGTGGGATTGGTGCGCCGGTTATTATTGTGAGGAGTTGGAAAACACTATTCCAATAGGATCTAAGGGATTTACATGCCCAAAGTATGTGAAGAAGGGAACCTATTTCTCCACATTGCCTCCCAAAGGTGGATGAGCGATGAGGGTAATATAATGAGAGTTTGGTTGGTGGTGTGAGGTACCATTGGTGCAGGATTTTCATGTAGGACTCCCAATGGGAGCTGCAACGGGAAGCTGTATGTGTAACGTTAAAGGTCTTCTCCCATATGTGTGATGGGGTTGGTTGAGAGAGGAGTTTTTCCCAGTTGGAGAGAGAAGAAGTTTGAAGGGAAAATCGGGAGTTGGTTATACATGTGTAGAATGTTGAGATCCCTTTTTTTTGGGTATTGCGGTTTGTTTAAGAAATAGAATGCAATGATGGGATTTTCAGAGAGGGTGGGATAGTTATCGTCTGTAGGGAGTGAGCTATTCTTCGGTATGTAAAGTGTTCATTGTTGGGAAGGTTACATTTTTTCTGAAGGGTCTGAAAGGAATCCAAAACATGGTTTGTATAAAGGTCTTGTAATAAGAAGATGCCACGATTTACCCATTGTAGCAGGGGTAGTGTCAGGGATCTCCACGATCCCCGCAGTGATGGTCCCGGCACAGGCGCAGTGCGCCGCCCTGTGCAGGGACACGGGCACTAGGTCCGGGCCGGCCGCGGTGTTCAAGTTTGCGCATGCGCAGTAGAAGCCGCGGCCGCTCGCTGGGCACCAATGGCAGCGCAGGGCGGGATATTTAAATGGCCCTGAGCTGTCATTCAGTGCCTTCTGGTCTTACCTGCATCCTGTATCCTGCGAACCTGTGCCCTGTAAGTTTTTGACCCAGATTGTACCTGACCTTGCTATATTCTCCTGTCCTGACCCTTGCTTTGCCTGACCTCTCTCCTGGATGCCCCCTATTGGATTTGACCTGCTGTTGCTGACCTGGCGTGTGACCCGACTATTCTCTGCCCGCTGCCTTGTACCTTACCGTCCTCTCTGTTACCTACCCAGCCCGTCTGACCTTGCTCATCCATCCATCCGTCCATCCCTCACAGTGGGGTCTTCAGACCTCCTCATATCAGACTCTTTCCCGTGGGAGCCCTCGGCGCATACCACTACCACTGATGGATGTACCCAGTAGCCACGTCTCGGGGTGCTCCAAGTCCATCCCCACCATCAGGGGCCCTGGTGAACAAGCACTCTGGGACTTAGATTCCGTGCGCTGGGGACGTCTATTCAGGGGGGTGCTAGTTGTACCGCCGGGCGGGGTCCCTTACAGGTAGGGAGGGAGTGACGAGGTGAAGTGTTGTAATTGGAGTATGGATCTCTTTGGTTTCTGTCGGGTGTAGGGTAAGGAGATCGGACCAGGCTTGTATGGTAGCATGAATGCATGGGTGCTTGATATGAGTTTTGAAAATGGGAGTTTGTGGAGAGAAGAGTAAGCTATATAGAGTAAGTTGGGTTGGTGTGAGGGAGCGATTCCATGTTGGACCATGTTTTTTCCTTGAAGGAATGCCACCAGTAATAGAGTTGGTCTAGTAAAGTGGCGCAGTAATATGATTTCAAGTGTGGGAGACCTGCTCCTCCTCTGGAAATAGGGCGTATGAGTAAATTTGTGGTACATTGTGGCTTTTTCCTGTTCCAGAGAAATTTGGTAAATGTTGCCTGTAGTTTGGTGAAAAAAGTGTTAGGAATAGGAATGGGGAGTGTGCGAAATATGTATAGGATTTTAGGTAGTATATTCATTTTAAGAGTTTCTACTCTTCCCAGTTTGGATAGCGTTGAAGTTTATGGTTTTTGCAGCGTAGAGCTGCTGTAAGGGACCGCCCGGCGGTACCACTAGCACTCCACTGATCAGGCGTCCCCAGCGTACGGAGTCTAAGCCCCAGAGTACTTGTTCACCAGAGCCCCTGATGGTGGGGATGGACTTGGAGTACCCCGGGACCAGGTTGTGACTACTAAGGACAACCGTCAGTGGTAGGGGTATTTGCCAGGGGCTCCCACGGGAGAGAGCCAGGTATGAGGAGGTCTGGAGACCCCGTTGAGAGGGATGGATGGCTGAGCAAGTGTAAGGTCAGGCAGGCCGGGTCGGTAACTATGGGGAAGGTGCGGTACAGAGCAGCGGGCAAAGAATAGTCGGGTCACACGCCAGGTCAGCAACAGCAGGTCAGATCCAATAGGGGGCATCCAGGAGAGAGGTCAGGCAAGCAAGGGTCAAGACAGGAGAAAGCAGCAAGGTCAGGGCACAATCCAGGTCAGCAACTCACTAGAAACAGGTTTGCAGGTTCACAGAATACAAGGAGACCAGAAGGCACTGAATGACAGCTCAGGGCCATTTAAATATCCCGCCCTGCACTGTCATTGGTGCCAGGCGTGTGCCCGCGGTCTCTACTGCGCATGCGCGAACTCGATTGCCCGCGGTCGGCCAGGTCCCAGCGCCCGCGTACCTGCACAGGGCGGTGCACTGTGTCTGCAGAAAGCCCAGCGCCGCGGCGATCCCCGACAGTTGCCCTGTTGTAGGAGTGAGATTTATTCCTAAATATGGGATATTGTTTGTGTACCCAGGAGAAAGGGAATTGTTTAGATAGAAAACTGCTGAGTCGTAGCGGGCGTGTGGAGGTTTAGCATGGAGGATTTGGGTTCATTGAGTTTGTAATAGGATACATCAGAGTAGTTTTGGAGATGTCCGCGAATCGTTTGAAGTGACCTGTTCGGGTTAGTTATCATCAGTATAATGTCGTCTGCAAAACAGGCTGATTTTTGTGTTCAGTTGTAAGGTGTGTAATTCCTGAGAAGTTGGGGTCATCTCTAAGTTTTGAAGCCAAGGGTTCAATAAGTAATGCAAAGATTATAGGGGACAAGGGACAACCTTGTCTTGTACCGTTGGAGATGTGAAAGATGTTTCCAGGTTATGTATCAGGGATATGAGCCTCCTGGTTGCGT